CGCGCTATTTAGTCCATATGTTGAGTAGCCCTACCGATATTTTACCACCGGTCGCGCCACTATCGAGTCTCTAATTTCGTGAAACGCACTATAGGTAATAGTTTTTGTTAGTATAGTTGTAGGTATTAGTTGTTGGTATTATATTTATTTAAATAACATTACCATTTTCTTCGATATTATCTGATTCTGAATCCACTTCATAATCTGGATCTTTATCCGTATCGTCATAATCAAAATCAGAATCCAACATTTCGTTAATTTCGTAGGGATTCATTATTATTATGCAATAAAAATWAAAATTATAAAACAAGAAAAAAAATCTAATAAGTAGTAGCTAGGATAGGTAAATACAAAATTACAAAATTTTCGGTTACAATTTCTTATCATTGTCAYATTATCATTGATAATGACAACAAACACGATTTAAGTTATCTCTATATTATTTAATATAACATAAATTAATTTTGAACACGAAAAATCAGTAATTAAATATAACTTAAAAACAAAATATGTGTAAAACAAATTACTATAGTCCGGCCGCCGAGAGAACGCTACTCGCTCGCGCATCCAAATGATCGAGCTCCGCGGTATCGTACCCAAATTTCTCCCACTCTACCACCTAGTCGCCGCCGTAAATTCCCCCACTCAGTACGCAGYGACCGGTGGCTAATTTCACAGCCGCCGCCGCTTAGCAGTAAACGGTGGTTGTATACACCGGCTCAAGTTACACACTATGAAAAAAATAATACCTGGTGTCAGGCGTACCTATTGTGTATACAAAAACAATACAAATAATATGTATTTAACATCAGTATTTTATATACGCATTTATTTAGTTATTCTAACAAAAATTAGTWATTGTACATAACATAGATTACATTTTAATATGAATTAAGAAAAAAAAAACAAAAAAAAAATATAAAAATACAAAATAAAAATATTTAAATAGSCACAAGAAATTAATCTGAATCTAAATCCGAAGAACTTGTATCACCTGTTCCTATGGTAAGGATATGACGTTCTTCTTCATCGGGTTGTCCGTCCATTACTTCATCACTTAAATGATCAAGGTTCAAAAACTTGTCTTCCTCCTTTATGACATGTCCGACAAAATTGGTCCACATTTCTGGTGTTACATGTTMCACCCCTTTTTTTAGCAGCTCAAGTACGTCCTTTATTTTAAATGTGTTGTTGTGTGTCCGAACATAACTTTTTACTGATGACCACGCGAGCTCTATCGGATTAAGCTCGCAATGGTATGGCGGTAATCGCAATACGAGTTTTTTATTGTCTTTCGCGCATTCGTCAATCACGTATTGGTCGTATGTATCTTTTAATTTTCTCACTTCTTTCATTAAATCATTTTTACATATCGGATGGATAACAATCTCACCTCTACTCTCAAGCCAATCTACGATTTCTTGTTTTTTCCAAGACATGTTTGGTATTTTACATTTCTTCACCGAGTGATACGAGGCATTGTCCATCACAATTATGGCATTTTCTTTTAATAATGGCAGAATACGTACAAACCATTCATAGAATGTATCACCATTCATTTCGTCGTGGTAGTCTGTTGAATTGGTTTTCGATTCGAAACATAAAAGGCCCCCCGGGACAAAACCATCTGACGACCCGATGTGTAAAACGATGAGACGCTTACCTTTCCCGGAGGGTTCCTTTTGTCCTGTAGTTAGGCCCTTAAGGAATGCATCACGTGATGTTTTGACCGTCGTGTCGAGCCATGTCCTGCTGTGTGTCTCGCCTGCGTTKACCCATGTCTCATCTAAATAGTATATTGGTCTGTTTTGTGCTCTGTAATGCTTTATTTTGGTTAAAAAACTTCGGCGCCAAGTTATTAAATCYTWTCTTTCGAGAAGTGCACTGTTACGATTTTTTTTCACGTATTCAAACTGTAAATCTTTTAACACTGCCTGGAATGACGTACGTTTCATATTAGGCAATGTTTCATCCTCATTAATGGCTACCAACATTTTTTTAATTKTTGGTACTTCACGGTTCCTCCAAAAATCATGAATTTTTTGCCTAATTGCGTTTTTATCAAATTCGTCGATTTTTTCAATTACTGTAGGTCTATGTTTTTCCTTGGTAGGCGATGAAACTGTACCTTGTCTTTTGTACTCCGACAATGTTGTTTGTATTGTACGTTGTCCAATACCCGAGGATTTTGAAATTTCTAATAGCATTTGTCTGTAGGTCAATCGGGGGCTGTCTGGATTTTCMGACTGTTTTTCAACGAAATATTTGTAGAGATTAATAACAATTTTCCTTTGACCAGTGCCAATAAACTAAAGAAAAAATATATRTTTAAAAATTRAAAATTTTCAATAGGAAAATAGTAATATAAACACTTACTTTTCCTTTTGGCTGGAGATACAGTTACATGTTCGTCGTCCATGTTGTATTTTTTTAAAAAACGTAAAAAATAAATATAACGGTTTGCTAAAACACGCGAAAACTGTATGCTCGAAAAAACAAAAACAAAAATGTTGTGTATCGTGTATGTATTCAATAACGTGGAATATCGAAAACACTATGTACGCTCTGTATACATACACTGTCACCGTTTCCCGGTCGGCGGCGGCGTCGGTAGACGGCAACAGCTGCGCGACGGTGGCGGCGACAGCGTCGGCGGCCAGAGTTAACGGCGGCCAGCGTTTTAGAGGGTTTAGTGGTAGGGATGCGTGAGAACGGACGAATTTTGGTCGCCGCCCAGTAGCGTTTTCTCGGCGGCCGGACTATATAGAAAACAATTCATAAAAAATAAAATAAATAACATATTCCGTTGCTACAAGTACCAAAATGAAGTGGTCACACTGTAGAATTCGAATCCGATAAAAAAAATACTGATAAAATAGTCCCATATCTGGCAATCACTTGTTAAATATACCGATAGTGTGAGACCCAAATTTGGTACTCGTAAATTTACTTTTGTATATTGTTGAGACCCAAATTTGGGACTCATGGCCAAATTGAGTAACAAGTCGAAAACCCCTCGGCGCTCAACGTGTTTATATCCATAAGGTAGTCAACTATTAGTTTGTTTATATTTTCATTTAATTTCAATTTCATACAATGCATACTGGGCCCCACTGAGGAAACTCATGTGGGCCCATGATAGTTTAAAACACTATTATAGGTCAAATATAAATATTAAAATTATAATATACCTAAGACTAGTCTAAAACATAATCTATTTATGTTTATGAAAATAATTACTGATATAGTAAGATATAATAAAAATACGATAATTTAAACAAAACGTAAAAAGAAATAATCTAAAAAATCTAATAAATACCTACTTGATACCTTAAATAATAAATAGAAGCAATACAAAATTTGATTTTAGAAAACCTGTAATTTGTATTATATAATTTAAATGATTCAGCTATCTATGTCTACAATGACAAGTGTTTTTACTTGTATTTACTTGTAAATATTTAGGTATTAATATAAGTAATATAATATTGTTATATTATGTATTTTATAAAGAACCAATTTAATATTTTGATTATTAATGATCATATAAAAATTATATGTTTGAATTTAACGATATTAGTGTTATACCTAGGTAATCATAATTGATTTCTTTCTTTCAAACCTATCATATATTTTGTAAACAAATAAATTATCATTGCAATTAACTATCACTAGGTAATTATAATTTATTTAGAATGTCAATTACTTGAAAAGACTTTGTTAGAAAAGACTCCAGTCTTTGAATCTTTCCAGTCTTTCTTGCTATACATAAATAACAATTGCACTTAGTACATTTTAGGTATGTGAAACACTTACATTGAGAAAACTTGCACCGTCCCCTTTTGTCTTGTGGTCTTGGCAAATGACCAGTGTTATCGGTTCTGGAATCTTTGGTAGGTGTATGTGTAGGTCTGGTTCTATTTACCCTTTTCATAAGAACTTCTAAAGAATTTGATCGCCTACCTCTTGTTGGTGTACAAACTCCTGTACTAGTGATTGTAGAACCAATTTCTGCTCTCCAGTTAGCTAATGTTCACTGGCTCATTTTTTTCAATTTGACACCTTTTGTACAAAAGTCATGAATTTACTACGGAAACATCAATAAAATGATACCATAATCGAATATACAATTTTTGTGAGCGAAACTTAATTTTGTATCTACCAATCAAACCATCTAACAAGTCARCTCCTCCCATAAAACGATTGTATGCCTTTACAACAAAAGGACAGTTCACATCTACTCTGGTTTTAATTCGTCGATCGAATCATTTCAACATACTTTTTGGTTCAGCACCAGCATATGAAGATAACAAAGTTACAATTTTATTATCCTTCCAGGTTGTTATGGATAATGGTGTTGATTTATAAGAACTTATTCTTTCTGCTATAAATCCACGCTCTTCTTTCTTCATTTGTTTTTCATCTGGAAGTTGATTATTTGGAACTCTATTTCGCCAAACAGTCCCCAAACCTAATATACCTCTTTCATAAAGATGTTCCATTAATGGCACTGATGTATAGAAATTGTCAAAATAAAGCCTATGGTTTTTATTATTTGGAACATTTTTATTGGATCAGTTTAATTTATTAAGTTTCAATTGTCCAATACTGATRAAATTGATATACAAATGATCAGTATCTAAAAATAAATCGTTTTTGCAAAAAAAAA